AGTCATAATTCTTTTTTTTTTTTTGGTCTTTTTTGAGTCAGAGTCTCTCTTACAGGCTGGCCTGGAACTCACTATGTAGACCAGGCTGGCCTTGAACTCACAGAGATCCTGCTGCCTTTTCCTCTCGTGTGCTGGGATTAAAAGCGTGAGCCACCACACCCAGCTCATAATGTTTCTTATACCATCATTTTATTGTCTGTGGGATCGATAGTATTGTTGCCTTTTTGATTTCTGAAATTAACAGGTTCTGTTTTCTTTTTTTTTTTCCCCTGAAATTAGCTTTGTTCCAAGCTTATTGATTTTATTGGCCTTAGTTTCATTGATTTCTTTCTTATTTTTGGTTTTATTGATTTCCACTCTTCTTTCACCAGCTTTATGCTTATTTTGGATTTTAATTGACTTTTTTGTGATTCTTAAAATGGAAACTTAGTTTATTAATTTTGGATTTTTTCTTTTCCAATCTATTAATTTGGCCATATAAATTTCTAAGTATTGTTTTCATTGTATACCACAAATTTTGCTGTTGTTTTCTCATTTTCCTATAATTCTAGATATTTATAACTTTCTTTTGGGATTTTTTTTGGCTCACATACTAGTTATACATTTACAACTTTGATTAATCTTCATGTAATTAAGAATTTTATAGCTCTTTTTCTGTTCTTAACTTTTAGTTTATTTAATCTATGTGCTGTGACTACATTGTTTGATTTGTATATCCCAAATTAGCTAAGGTGTGCTTTATGACTCACAACATAGTTTATTTTGGTGAATGTGCCATGTGAGATTGAGAAGATTGTATATTCTGTTGTTGTTGGATGAAGTAGTCCATAGAGGTTTATGATATGCCTTTGATTGATGGCGCTCTGAGTTTAGCTGTGTCCCTACTACTTCTCTGCTGGCTGTGTCTGCCCATTATTGATGGAGGGGTGTTGAAATCTCCAGCTGTAGTAATGATCCTTTGATTTCTTCTTGCTCTTATCTGTTAGTTTTTGCCTCATGTATTCACACTACATTGTTTGACATATGCATATTAGGCATTATTATGTCTTATTGAAGGATTTACTGCTTTATCACAAGTAATGTTCCTTATTCATGATACTCTTTTTTTTTGCCTTATTGTTTTCTTTCTTTGAAATTAATGTAGCAAACCAGTGTTGTGTATCTTTCTTCATTTCTTCACATTTGCTGTGGATTTACTCCATATAGCTAAAGCCACCTAACTTTAATAAAACATCAAAAACATCCATTGGAGAAAAGATAGCCACTTTAGGAAAAACAGATATTCATCTGTAGAAAAATGAAGTTAGATCTGTATCTGCCATACCATACAAAAATCAATGAAAGTAAATCAAACGCCTTAATATTAAGATCTAAAACTCTAAAACTGCTAAAGAAAAACACTTCAAAATATAGACATTCTGAAAAGAATTCTAATACCACAGGAAATAACTTCAAGAACTGACTTACTAGGCAAAGTGCTTGCTGTGTAAGAATGAGGACCTGACTTTGGATCCCCAGTACCCAGAAAAAAGCTGGGTGTGGTGGCAACACACATCTATAACCCCAGAACTGGGGGACAGACACAGGTGGATCCTGGGGACTACCTGGCCAAACTTTCTAGGCAAAATGGGGAGCTGCAGGTTCAGAGAGACCCTGTTTTAAAAAATTAAGGTGGAGGGCAACAGACGAAGATCCTGCCACACATGCTTGCACACACAAGTACACACATGCGCATTATACACACACACACACACACAAAGAAAAGAAATGCAAATGGCCAATAAATACTGAAAAAGCATTCAGGATCCTTAGCAAAATTAAAAGCGCTTGGAAATCTCACTCCAATCAAAATGGCTATCATCAAGACAAATGACAACAAATGCTGGTATGGATGCAGGAAAAGGGAAACTCTGATACACTGCTGGTCAGAATATAAACTGGTGCCGGTGCAGTACTGTAGAAGTCAGTGTAGAGATTCCTCAGAAATTTGGAAATATCACTATCGTATAACCCAGCTATACCACACCAGGGTATTTTTTTCTGAAGAGCTGTAAGTCTCCCCACTGAGATGTGGCACATCCATGTTTATTGCTGCACTGTTCATAATAGCTAGTAGATGGAACACAAGCCTAGCTGTTCTTCAACAAATGAATGAATAAATAAAATGTGGTACATATACACAATGGAGTTTTATTCAGGCATAAAGAAAAATCAGATCATGACATTTGCAGGTAAACGGCTAGAACTTGAAATAATTATGTTAAGTGAAATAAGCCAGACTCAGAAAGACAAGTCCATGTGTTTCTCATATCTGGAATCTGGATTTAATGTGCACGTATGTGTGTGTGTGTGTGTGTGTGTGTGTGTGTGTGTGTGTACCATGAAAGTAGAAGGGAGATTGTGAGGGGGAATTAAGAGCTCTGGAAATGACAGGGTAATGGAATTCATCCGACATGAGAACAGAAGGGGCGCTATCAGAATAGGGAGGAAGGGGACCTGGCATAGGAGACAGGGGCAGGGAGCAGAGGGAGGGCTGTGAGGCCAGGGGTATGGGTGAGTGTGTGAACTAGAACAGAATATAATGACACTAGTCTGTGAAAATACAATGATGAAACACATTATTTTAAAATGTTAAGTGCTCTGATCACAGCATCACCTAAAATGAGCTGGTGGAATCACATGGGCCAGAATCCCAGCTACTTAGGACATGAAGCTGCGGAATCAGGACTTGAAGCTCATTCTTGGACTCAGACAGCTAGAGGCCTACCTGGCTGCATTAGGCCCTGTCTCAGAACAAAAGTTACATCCTTTCTCTTCCCCGCACCCACATTTATGTAGGCAGCACAAAATGGATTTAGTGGTTTATTTAAAAAAAAAAGAACATGAAGTTATGGAGGGAGACGGCGGGGGTGGGTGCATCCTGGGGAAGTTAGAGTAAGGGTGTGTGTAGGGGATCAGTATAATCAAAATACATTGTACGCACATATGAAATTCTCAAAAAATTAATTTAGAATATTATATTAAAATTATTTAAAGCCAAAAGTAGTGATTCATGACTTTAATTCCAGTACTCATGTGGGTGCTAGGAACCAAACTGGAGTCCTGTGCAAGAGCAGCCAGTGCTCTTAACCTAACCACTGAGCATCTCTCCAGCCCTTGTACAGGTTTCTTATAACAAAATATTTTTAATTTTTCTTTTCTTTAATATATTTTAAACTATACATATTTTAAATAAAACCTTTGTGAAGTCTATATAATAAACAATGAAGAAAACACATAGATTTTTTTTTGTTTTACATAGAAATAATTCAGTGTTCAGTAGTTATGAGTTTGTGCTGCTCTTACAGAGAACCCAAGTTTGGTTTTCAGCACTCATATCAGTAACTCCAGCTCCAAGGGATATGACACCCATTTCCAGCTTCCCTGGGCACCTGCACTCATGTGCATGTAACTCTCAGACATACAGATATGCACAGGATTAAAACTAAAAATAAAATCCTTAACAAATTAGAGGTAATTCACTATTATCACCATTTATGAAACTGCCTTTTTTGGTTGTGAGAGTGCCTGCCTATTTTCTATTTGTAGTACAAGGAAACACTTTTTAAAGCATTTGTGTATTACTTGTGTTGATAATTTCATTTATATAGAACATTGGCTGCTCTTAAATTGTGAATGTTGAAGTATGATTGATAACAAAGTACACTAAGCATTATCTTGAAAACTTTTTCCTGTTCTGCCTTTATCAACTAAGGATGTTCAACACCAATGATAACATCTTTTCCAATGTTTTTATGAATCTGAATATTGTTTATTGTAATGATAGAGTGATTTGTTCAGAAGCTGCTGGTGCTCTATAACTATTGTCCTTATATCCCACTGTTGTAGGAACATAAGGATATTCTTGATATTCTTATGCCTTTTTGTTTTAAATGATCATACTTCATAGTAGCTCAGTGTCTTTTTAAGTAACTCTAGGCTTTTCAACTTGTCAGGCTGGAATTTTAAAATTAAACAAGGTAGACTCTCCAAAGATGAAAACAAGAACAAGAGGGGGCTGGAAAGATGGCTCAGCAGTTAAGAGCACGAACTGCTCTTGTAGAGGACCCGGGTTTGATTCCCAGCACCCACATGGTGGCTACCAACCGTCCTTAACTCCAGTTCCAGGGAAATCTGAAGCCCTCTTCTGACCTCTGCAGTGTTGCACATGGGTGCACTCACATACATACAGGCAATGCACTCATACACATTAAATATAAATAAATAAATAAATAATAAATTAGATATAATAAAAACAAGAAAAATACTTGAATTTTAAAGATTTTGTTGTCTTTCAGTTGCTCTTTAAACTATGTAAATTTTTGCTTTCTTATCTGTTTGCATGAGTAGGGTTGTTTGATAACTGATTTCCATTTAGGCAAGGTGTTTAATAAACCCTCTTGCATGTTCATTCTATTCTGTGCATGCAGCTTTCAGGATCACAGAAACTTTACATTGTTGAGTATGCTTTAAACAAATTCATTCAAGTTAATAAAAATAGTTCACAGATAATTGTCTTAGCTCCAAAGTATCTTGACAATTACCTCAGAAATGTCATGGAAAATGACTTTGGCTTGGTCTTGAGCAGCAACAACAAAAGCCTGATGATGTAAGCATCTTGCTGTGGGTTCACCTCTCTAAGCCACACTTCCTAGTCAGCATACAAAGCCTGCTTGTGTTCTAGAATGCCTCCAGTCCTGATTTACATTTTTAAACAAGTAGTTCTTAAGCTTGAAGGAAAGAAGCTCTCATAGTCAAACTGTAGCAACATTTTAAAGCATGAGCTGATCTTCTCTGGTTCTGTTGTGGGAGAGAAGAGAAGAGAAACCACCTTAGCATCACAGAATGTTTCTGGTATGTGTTTATTAGTTTTCAGCTAGCATGTTTTTAATTGGTTTTAATGAAACAATGATATTTCATAACAGACATTTATTTTAGGTTTACTATCATTTTATTTCTAGGTGGAACACCAGTATTCCCATAAATTCACAGTAGTGGTGCTACGTGCCACCAAAGTAACCAAGGGGACCTTTGGCGACATGCGTGAGTACTTAGTTTACTATATTGTTGGAAGGGGGGGCGGGTGTTCTATTGCTTGATTATCTTTGAACAGTAACATTTTGAACAGTTTTGTTGCTGTTTGTCACCTGTCAGAATAGCCTTTGACTTTGACTTTGCATTAGCTGAGAGCAATTGCAAACAGACAAAATGACTGTCCTGTGACACATAGATCATGGAATTAAAAATACCAGTTCATCCTATTTGAAAAGAGTGTTGAGTCAGGTCTTCAAACAGTCTGCCTCTGAGGTTTTGTACTTATAGGATTAAAAAGTGCAGTTGGTGGGATTATTCTGCCTCTGAGTGTGTTAGTATTAAGTATGGAACTGTAGACAGCTATAGGACTTGTGCAGAACAGTCCAGAATGATGTGAGCCTCAGCCTGAGGATCATGTTGCATCAACTTCTTGGCGGTATTCTCCATGCTCTTAAAAGCAGTTTTCCCTATTCGTCAGAGGAGTCAAATGGTTCATGATGTGAAGTGCAAAGAAAAGGTATAAATATTTTGATTGTGAATTTGATAAAGTTTTGATTATGGCTATAGTATGGGAATGGGTAATTGAACCCTCATAACAAGGTTTGGAGACAGACCAAAATTCTAATTTAAAACTTCAAGACACAAAGAAAGCATTCATTCTGTTGTGTGTTAGAGAAACAAATGGCCTGTTTTGTTTTTCCCATGCTCTCATACCACTACAAGCAAATGACTTCTGACACCAGGTGTGCCTGTGCATTTCCCTCCCCAGCAAGTGAGCAAATGATTCTAAAGCAGAAACCAGTAAGGTATCTTCTAACTCAATTTAGCTGTTACACTGTCTGCCTGGGGACAATTTTAGATCACACAGGTTGAGAACTCAGTTTCCAAGTTTCTCCCCTCCCTTGCTCTCTTGAAAAGCAAGCTGCAAGCCCCAGGTTGTTTAATCTGTGCTTCTAGCCAACTAGTTAACCGGCTGGTGCTCCCTTAACCCCCTCCCTGAGTTTCATTAACTTGCTGGAGAGTGGATCACTGAACTCCGGATATTACTTATCACTTTATTATGAAGGCCTCTGTAAAGCATTTGGATGAAGAGAAACGTAGAGTGAGGCGTAGGGGAGAGGGTGCGGAGTTTCCATGACTGCTGCAGGCATCCCATCGCCCTCTGGAAACCTCTCCAAGCTCAAGTTCAGCAATCTGGTAGCGTTCCTAGCCCTGTCCTTTGTGTTTTTGAGGAGACTTAATCACATACCTTACTCATTGTCCGGGTAAGGAACCCAGCAAAGCCTGTCTGCTTCATCATTCTTCGTGATCTAACTGGGTAGCATTCTCCCTCCAGGGTGTGGAACTGGTCTCTTCTGGAATCAGCTGAGTCTCGTGACATTCTATTGAATTAGGAGGGTTGTTTAAGGAATTTCATGATGGCCTGTTCTGCCTTGGGAGAGGGAAACTAGTTTCTAGGGCTTGCCTGGGAGAAGAAGGGATCCTGACTCAGGAGCCATGGAGAACAGACTGCGTGATGGCAGTGCATCTGCACAAGTGAGAGCAGGAGGCATATCGGGCAGATAAAGTAGCATGTTAGGAAGCTGAGAAAGAACAGACCCCTTATCCTGATTTGCGTAGACCAGGTCGGACACACAGAGGCGGAGGCTGGAGGGACAGGCAGGCCTGGCAAGCACTGGAAAGACAAGGACAGGGAGGGAGATTATTCTGTGCAATCTTGAGAACTAGATGGCAGTAAGCGGAAAGTCACCTGACCCGGGTTTCATTTCAAATGTTCTGACTATAAAATTAAGAAAACTATGGGGTGGAGCCCTGGCTAGGTGGTTAAGAGCACTTACTGCTCCTCCAGAGGACCTGGGTTTGTTCCTCCCAGCACCCACCTTGTGGCAAACACTCATCCTTAACTCTAGTTCTTGGGGATCCAACACCCTCTTCTGGTCTCCACAGACACCAGGCATTCATGTGGGGGCTTAGATACTTGTAGACAAAACACCCACACACATAAAATGAAGATAAATAAAATCTTTCAAAAACAAATATTTTGTAGGAGAATCAGGAAAACATTTTGTTTTTGTGTTTGAAGAATGAGAAGGACTTGCGCTTAGAATGGGAAAGTTAAATCCTAAGGAAGGAAAGAAAAGTTGTGAGGTCTGTGTCGTAGCCCTCAGTGAATGCAGAAGAAGAATCAGGGAAATTGGTGGATATTAGAATGAAGAAGAATGAAGTTAGACTGTAGCAGAAGTAGTAGGGCTGTGGAGAACAGTGGCAGTCTCTTTAAAACTAGTCTGAATCAGAGGAGTATATTCTTAAATTTTATGCTTTTGTCTAGTCCACTTAATCCCCCTTTATCAACATTGTCCTTATTTTTATTTTTACAATTCCTTGCTTTTTCATCACTTCAAATGACAGTTCTTTCTAAGCTTCTATGAAAGAGAAGCCACTTCAGATACCGTTTGTGAAGGTTGGAGTCCTTCGTGACTTTAATGAAAGGGAGAGGCATTCAATGGAACAGGTCAGACTGTGAGATGAAAAGTCCATTCATTCTTCCTTCTGTGAAACACTGTACCAATGACTTGCCAGGCGTGCAAAAAATAGACCTAATTTAACTTTTAAACACCTATATATTATCTCTTAGAGAAAGCAGTGGCAGCCCTCTTCTGTCCATGCAGATTGTTATGCAGACCCAGTGATGCTGCTGAGGATGCCGCTCAGCAGCACAGCTGTACTCTGAGAGTCTCAACTGGAGTGGACTAGATTCCTTGGCAAATTGCATAGGCCCTGGCATTCAAGTAGTGGTTAAAGGGAGGACAGTAACAAGAGGTGGTGTACTCTTTCCTGTGTCTACAGTGGACGTGACACAGGTTAGACCCTCAGGCTTTAGAAGTTTAGTTTTTAAAGTAATGTAGCCGTGGGAGGAATGGCCAGTGGAGATTTCTTGCTAGGGGGGAAAGGGCAGGGAAAAGGACGATGTTGGAATGTTTCCTCAGTATTTCTAAGGTCTGGAAGACTGAGATAGAAGAAGTCTACGTTCTATTCTATTTTTATGTTGTTGCATGTATTTAAGAAGTACATTTCCATAAAGTTTTCCACATGATTCTTTATAGGGTGGGGAGTTGTTGCCAGCATGTTGTATCAGTTAATGAGGTGGCAGGAAGTCAGGAAGAGAGACAAGGAGAAGGAAGAGGGAGAGCTTTAGAAAAACAAACTTCATGGCAAAGTTCTCTGGGGGAAAGTAATGCACAGGGCTGAGACTTTGATTTTGAGAAGCTTTAGGAAGCTACAGTGCAGGCATCCTCTTCTGAGCCCAGTGCTGATGACACTGCTTGATGAACTTGAACCCAAGTCACCAAGTATGACAAATTTGCCATGTTTGTTTCTAGCAATTATTGGAAGAAATGAATATAGAGAATTATGAAAGTGTTTGGAAACTATACAACTTTAAAGCACATTTCAAATCTAGACAATCAGGATAGTAGAACCCTATAGCCTATTCTATTTTCATAGTGTCTACATTTATTTCAAAAACAAATTTCCATTAAGTTCTCCTTACTGGTAAAGAAGAATGAGAGATTCCTACTGTTTTGCTTATATATGTAGTCTTTCTCAATGATGCCACACAAATAAAATAACTAGTTCCAGGTCAAATATCCATATCTGCTTTCTCTGTTTTAGATAATACTAAGTTCATACCTATTTTTATTTTATTTCTTAGTAAATTATCCTCTTCTAACTAGCTGCACTTAGAAATACCCTCTGCCTTGTTAAATCATCATGATAAAATAAGAGCTACCCCATGAGCTGTTGTTTAAGGGGTTAGAGCTAACACTCTTTTGTTTTGCTATGTGAGAAGCTGATAACAAGGTAGACCTGGAATTCACCAGGTCTACCACCAGACTGGCCTTGAAGTTGTGGTGCTCCCGCATAAGCCTCATTAGTGCTGGAATGATAGGAGCATGCCACCACCACACCCCACTCAGGAGTCAGATTTTAATCATAATCTTCATTTCATGCTTCGACCAGAACCAAGATTCCAGTCTCTCCTGGCCATGGCTGTGAATGTCAGCAGCCTGCATGCTGTTACTGCTGTGTGTCATCTATACCTCTTACCCCAGTGTCAACCACACTCTGCGTCTTATGCTTGATAGGAAAAGCAGTTTGAAGCTCCGATTTGCACCTGACTAGAATAATTGCCATATTCTGATTTCTAAAAGAGTTTGCATTAAGTTGATAAACTCTTTTTTATTTATTTATTTATTTATTTTTTGGACAAGGTTGCCCTGGCTGGGCTGGAACTTGTTATGTAGACTAGGCTGGCCTCGATCTTACAGAGATCCAACTGCCTCTGCCTCTTGAGTGCTGGGATTAAAGGCGTGTACCACCATATGAGCCCAGGTCAATAAATTCTTACTTTGAAAGTTATGGACAGTTATTACATCTATGACATGTAATAGGCAGCATGGCGAGGTAGGTTAGGTGCTGAGTGTTAGATGGATGTGACACTTGGTTCTGCACTGTTCCTTAGTCTTCTAGCTGAATATATTTGAGCAATTGCCTCAGTGGTGGTCAAATTTAAGTTGTTGAGAGTTTGCCCTGTGTTTCTATATGAGACGAGCATGCAACCCTGATGATGACAATAAACTAATTATATAACCAAACAAAATAGCTGACAGGCAGCTGTGTGAATTCTGTCACTGATTTTTTGCTCCATTATTATTATTATTATTATTATTATTATTATTTTGATCTTTTTGAGATAGGGTCTCCCTATAGTCCCAGCTGGCCTAGAACTCCCTATATAGAGCAGACTGGCTTTGAACTCACAGAAATCTGCCTGCCTCTGCCTCCCGAGTGCTGGGACTAAAACATAAGTCAGAAGAAATGGAGGCTAGTCTCAGGATTCAAAATCAGAAAAGTCAGGCTTTATTCTCTAAGAGCTTAGACCAGTGTATAGGACTTTGTTTAAAACATAAAAACAAAACAACCCCCCAAACCACGCAAGTTATATATTT